CAAGTAATCTAAATGTCTTCTCTGTAAATATTGATATTACTTACCAATCTGAATAACATTATTTTTATATGTATGATCATTATAAGTATGTCATTTTATAACAATATACAGTATCTCATATTTATAACAAAACAATCGTTTGAAAATCTGATGAAAATTGATGAAGTTATGGTTATTTTAATAGTAAATGCACCATTCACGTTCATGTTAAGAGTGGGACTGCTGTCTGTACTAAGATGGCCGCCGTGTGATGACGTCCGTCTCCAATGGCCAAGAGTGCGGACCACTTATCTAGCCTTTACATCTACGCCAAAATGTACCCACCTTTCATCTTCAAGTTGCCCTTTGGGAGTGCTTTGTTTTTGTGGTTCAAAAACCTGTGTGGAAATGCATAAAATCATCAGCAATGACAGCTTAATTTATTTTATCAACTTGTCTTCTGAAGATGCTCTGTGTTGAAGGATCAGTGGATCTGTGTTCGACTACTCCACCTAGGCTGCATTGTCGAGCACAGATTCACTGAGAAACTTGCTGTTTCAGCATCATTTAATTTAAAAACTGTACTTTTGAGGTTAAACAAATGTTTGTAATTAATTTAAATAAATTACAAGTTAAAAGAGGCATGGAAATGTCTCTTTGTTTGTATCGAAAAAATATCGAACCGTGAAGWATCGAACCGAATCGTGAATTTTCTRTATCGTTGCACCCCTAATACATATATATAAACATCACTAAAAGTTCCCCTGCCAAATGAAATGAGTGTTTCATGTCACTTGTCAGTGTTTTTAAGATTTTATCTGATTTGCAGACTGAAAACATGAGCTAGTTCACACGTACCTGTCCTACCTGCTTTTCTAATTAAACTAGTTTGTATTCAAGCACTTGATTACCACAACACTCCTGTTTTAGATCTGACTTAAGTTTGCCTTGAGGTGATTGCATCATGTTTGATGTGTTTCTAAATGTGAGGAACTGCCTGAAGTCTTCCTGTACTTTCCTGGACGTTTGTTGCAAATCCAGAAAAAGAAACGGAGCAGTTTATATGYTCACATAAATGATGAAGGAGTCAGGCTTTAAAAATGTATAATTAAAAAAATAAGTATTTAGAGCAGAGCTTTAATATTTTAGACGACGCGTGGAACAGAGTAGAAGTTCTCACATGAATTCTTCAAAGAAAAYCCATGACCCGACCCGGGAGGGTGTGTGAGTTGGCATGGATCGACCCAGCAGCCATCAGATCTTACAACCTGAGGTGTTCGTTGGGCCTCAAAGTCCGCTGTGGTCAGAGTTTAAAGACGTTTGATCTGAACTGGGTCATACAGAAGCAACAGAAGTAAGACATCACATTTTACACGTGCTTGTTTCCTCTTTGCTTCGTTTTTCTTTCATTTTCACAATCTGAAGATATCTGACTCCTGTCTGTTTGATCACATTAGTAGTGGCCTTTTATGAAAACTCATCCTCCCTGTTTTAATGAACCATAAATGACTATTTTTTTCTCCTTTTTCTTTTTGTTTCCTGCAGTGAGAGAAGGCATGAAGACATCATCTTAGTCATCAGTCATGGCCGATAAAAGGAAACTTCAAGGTGAGGCTTCTAACTGAGCTCTGCTTGTTTGTGTCTCGTGAAAACACCTGAGCGGATGCAGATGAGTGTTGGGATTTGTTCTGGGCTGATCCAGTTCCAGATCTTTGAGCTGTGCCTCACATCTGTGCACAGAAAGCAGCAGATTTGCGCTGTGGTTTGCTAATGATTCTCTGATGGTGTTTGGTGATGTTATGGCAAACACTCAGCCTCAGCTGTTGGATGTCATCATTGTGTGGTCACACCTGCAGCACAGTGGTCTGTTTGGTGACGGCGTTAAACAGAACCAGACCTTGTGAAAATCACATGCACACACAACTAAGTTGTGTAAGACGTCCTGACTCCAGGTCAGAGGTTTCTGGCTCCAGCTGCAGTCACAATGTTTACCAGGCTTTACTTTTACAAAAAAAAAAAACATCTAAAATAGTACATTTTCTGTTTTTTCGGGGAAGTATAGTTTACAAAATTAAGTTTTCAGCTTCTGTAATGTGCTTATTAAAGTTCCTAACTAGTTAAATATCCAACTTCCTGTTAGGTTTTTGATGCAGGTTTAATAGGAACGTCCTGATTGTGGTCACTGCATACACCTGGCCTCATCTTTGTTGTTTCAGTGGAATAATTCAACTTATTTTGTGTCCATTTACTATGAAAAAAAAAAATCTAGTCCAAAYAGTCTAAAACAGATTCAAGTCTTATTGCAGCCAATTCATTTTAAATATAATTCAATACAAGAAACAGGATAAATATAGATTTAATAATGCATATTTGTCTTATTACACTGCAGTGCTACTGACAAAGCTAACATGTATATTATTAGATCTATTTTATTACTTTTGTTCTACTATATGTTTGGTTCCAGCTGTAGCTGTGTTTCCATTGACCATGAAAATACGCAAATTCGAATTTCGTAAATAAATTTGCTCAAAGAAAACACGTCAGTTTCGAAAAAAATTACGTTTTTCGACAAAATGTTTTTGTGCTAGGATGTGGTGGTATTTCGGCCGTATCAAAATTGGTGTTTTTTGCAAAACTGCAAAGGAAACACTTTTTTCGCTTCACGTGAGTCACGTGATCAACAACCGGCTGTTTCTACTGGTGAAAAAGACGACGACGAAGAAGATAACAGGAAGTAGAAATAATAGTAATATCACGCTATCAGCCCTAGCATACGTAGCCGCTAGGGCTGTGTATTGGCAAGAATTTGGCGATACGATGCATATCATGACAGAGGGATCACGATACGATATATCCCGATATATTGCGATATATTGTGATTTTTTTTGTCCAAATATTCTATTAAATAAAAACAACTAACA